ATTCTAACCCCCCCCCCCCCCCCCCATCTTGAATTTAGCCAGTTAAGTATGAGCACGTCTCTGGATAACCTTAAATATGCAGCAGTCCTACTGACTTTTTCTTTTCAAAAATCTCTGGAAGGTCATAAATATGAGCACAAAGACAGCACAAAAAGCAACTTTGTACAAGAATCTACAATGCAGTAACCACATATGCTACTTCACACTTTTCCCACTTCCTGTTGTTGAGGAGGGTGGGGCAAGGAACGATACGAAAGGAGACAAAAGAGCAGAAGTCACATTTTGATCTTTCTAGGTTTTTTGGTGTTTGGTTGGTTGGTTTTTTTCCTGTCTGTACTTTGGACTCACACGGCCCCATTATATCAGTGCAGCTCCAGAGAAGGATCTATATGAAACAAAAGTGTGACTTGTGTTTCTGGTAATTTTGCCTTCTTTATGACTTTAGCCTAGACAGTTTAGGCATGAAATTTCAAATGCACCAAGTTTTCATTAGATTTTTTTTAAAAAGGAAATTATCTAAGTATTACAAGCTTTAAAAAATACTTAATTTATGTTTTAATCATAAAAGAAAACACAACATCAAAGTCTGTCCATTCTTTCCTTCAGTTCTTAGGAAGCTGAAAATTCAACTGTTTGTACAAGTTTGCTACAATGTATGTTTTTAATTTATATGCTTGTCTTGCACCTATTTGGGGCATTTGCCTGGGCATACCTCACATGCTGCTGGAAATCTTTTACCATTTCTGAAAAAATTATTCAACTGTTTAACAAACACTAATCTCATACAGACATGTGGCGTACTTGATGTATTTACAAAGACAAGTTTATCTGAAATTAACTCCCTTCTTATGCAATTGTCAAAGTTAAAGTCTTCTGTCATTTATATTATCATCTCAAAAGCATATATTCACAGTTCAGCTTCATTTAAACTTAACATAGATTAGGAACACTACGGAATAAGCACATTTTTTCTTCTATCTGTTCATTCAAGTTGTATGACAAGCCTACATGAAATCTTCTCAGTATACACAACTGCATCAAGTATTGTAACTGGAAGACAAAACAGGAAAGTGCGGACTAGAAATTGAAGCTTTGGTCAACAGTCCTTTGGTGTCTGGTTCACTTATATCCCAGAACAGACAACTGAAGTCTTGATTACCATACTGTCTACTGAGTTTGCTCCATTACATTTATATTACTATGCTATGTTTCAGTTACCCGACTGGATAAGAAAAATTCTCTCTTTCTTCATAATACAAAGTTTGCTTCTGAAGATTCCCATAAACCCACCTGTGCTTCCTTTGAAGCACTAAAGATCAGCCAAGATTAGAGAGAGGACACAGAGCAGAATGCAGAGAGGCTCGTAGTAGCTTTTTTTACATGTTTAGTATTAAAATAATTGTCAGGTGACAAGCCAGGATGAGCTTTCCCTCAGCAAGGCTTAGCAGAGATGAAACATCTGGGAGAGATGGTGTAGAGCAGATGTGACACTCCCGAGCAGCATCAGGCAAATTGTTGTATTACCTAAACAATTTCACTTAGGAAATTGTTCCTATTGCAAGGTCATTTGCTATGCCCTTCTTCTGTCTTCCAGAAGCACATAATATTTTGTGGCATTTGAGTTCTCACTGAGAGTACCAGGTAGTGGTTTGTGGCTCACAGTCCGTAAAACTGACATTTTATGAACTTTCAGGGTTAAACACACATAACATAACCTGCAGTTATAGAGACAGAAGTCATCTCAGATGCTCCTGGGTTTGAGTCCTAAGCCTCTATGGAGTTCATGCATTATTCCAGCCCACTAGCTGTTTTAACCATCTAGTCTATAAAGCCACCTTCTTCCTCAGCTCCCCTTTTGTGTTGCTAGTGCCTAAAAACAGAGTTTCCATACTCAAGCCTTCTCCTATTTCCCCCTGGCACTATCAGAAAACCCTCTTGCAGTCCCAAAGCTGTAATTATCCTTCTGTCAAGGTACTGAAAAAACAAACCTTTCTACTCAAGCCACCCATTGCAAGGGTCTCTAGTACTAGCAGCAGCTCTACAACACACTGTAGTATTAATTTCCTTTTAGTTGCTTAGGCTATTAATATCTTCTTATTAAATAAATCTACACCTTTGTTTTATCATGAAACCCTACTATTCTACTAGGATATAAATGCTACAGGGCAACAAAAAAATGACAAAAATTAGAGAAAACTTATCACCATTTAAATGAGAATCTTAAGTAATCTCATTCCAAAAACAGAACAATACCATGCAGAGGTATTTTTTTCCCCTTTACACACCATTCTGAAGGTCTATTTAATAGTTCCGATATTCTGAAAGACAGTCACAACTTCGCAGAAGTTGGAATGAAAGTGCTGGGAAGTGAAGGACCATTTCGATTTTATGACCATCATTATAGTACAAAGACATCTTAAGGACACTAAAAGCAAGTATCTACTTATAATTAGTTGGCTGTTAGTGAAAATCATGTCCATCACTGGAAACAGTATGAATAAAGTAATGAATTATCATTACATTCCTGCACATACAGAAGATAAGTAAATGGACATCATTTCAAGGTCTTGGCCATGTCCAGTTCTATTTGGTCTGCTGCTAGGGTCACCCCAATCCTAAACCTAATCCTCAACACCTTCAGAAATACCAAACCCCCAATAAAAAAAGAAAAATAAGTGAGGGCATGTTATTCATATAGTATATACATATTCTTAAATTATTAACGCAAAGTAAGCAACCATTCTTCCTTCCAAAGGTAATGATGCACAGAGAATCCATTTCCTGTGCCTAATGAAGACCTTTCTGAATGAAAATGGTGATTAAATTTCATTTAAACTACTCTTGCCAGAAAAGGTGTAACAAAACATGAAAACTGATTTGGAAACCAAAGAGTATCACCTTATTTGGTTTGGAGTAAAGACCAAAGGGCTATTGAATAGGGATAGTCTTCAAAGAGGTAGGAAGGTTACCAACCTGTGAACACTGGTTACATACAGCCTCACTACACCCATCCATCTATTAACATGTTCTTCCACAGGCTCATTCAGACAGCATTTTGATGAAAAACATCCAAACATTAACCTTTTCTACAAAGGCTGCAAACCAGCTCAAAAGCACACTGAAATTATTTTGTCCTGTCAGATCAACAACGATAAAATTACTGCCTTCAATTTCACCTGGGTTAAAGCTTACATGAGAGAAAGAAGAAACTGAAGAAGTGTGGAAAAATCCAGTTTTGAAAAAGAACAACATAGAGAAATTATGATATGCATTTGAAATTGTAGTTATGATACATGCCCAGGCTAATAGCTTCCTAGCTTGTATCAGGAATAGTGTGACTAGTAGGACTAAGGAAATGATTGCCCCCCTGTACTCGGCACTGGTGAGGCCACACCTCAAGTGCTGTGTCCAGTTTTGGGCCCTGCACTTCAAGAAAGACATTGAGGTGCTGGAGTGTGTCCAAAGAAGGGCAACAAAGCTGGTGAAGGGTCTGGAGCACAAATCTGATGAGGGAACTGGGTTGTTCAGTCTGGAGAAGAGGAGGCTGAAGGGTTACCTTATCACACTCTACAACTACCTGAAAGGAGGTTGTAGGAAGGTGGCGGTCGGTCTCTTCTTCCAAGTAACAAGCAATAGGACAAGAGGAAATGGCCTGAAGTTGTGACAGGGGAGGCTTAGATTGGACATTAGGAAAAATTTCTTCACCGAAAGGGTTGTCAAGCATTGAAACAGGCTGCCCAGGGAAGTGGTAGAGTCACCATCCCTGGAGCCATTTAAAAGCTGTGCAGACATGGCACTTAGGGATGTGGTTTATTGCTGGACTTAGTAGTGTTAGGTTAACGGTTGGACTCGATGATCTTAATGGTCTTTTCCAACCTAAATGATTGTATGAGTCCATATACATGGTTTAAAGGAATACAGAAGGGTGAGACTATTCTCTCACTTTTTGGAATCAACGTGATTACCAATCACCAGGTCTTCACCAATATGGTGTTGTATGAACAAAAGACTGACAGTTTTGATTCTGCTTCTAGACGGAGCCTTGTAAGCCTGATGAAGAGCCCAGGCTGCTTTATTGCCACCAGTCCTAAAGGGGCACTGATATAGGAGACAGACGGTGCTAAACTGGCTGCACAGAGGACCTCTCCCATTCACTCTGTGAAGCAGTCTGATGGAAGCTTTCCTGTTCTGGATGAAAGTCAGCTGAAACATTTTTTTAGCTGGCTGGCATCCAGACAGTATTCAGACTACCGAACAACAGTAACACTGGGTCTAGCACAGAGTCCACTGAATTAATAATGTCATGAGGCAAACCAGGCCCTCCATAGACTCACAGGTAGTTTAACTGTGCATGTTCCAATTTTTACACAAGCAGTACCTAGACAACACACAATATTAGAAACATGAAAATGTAGCTAATCCCTTTTAGTAAGATGGAGACATTGGTTAAACTGGCCGAATGCCTAAACCAACCTGGTACCTTAAAACCATACAGTTTTCAAGGTGTTAACATAAAACACATGAACAATTTTTGTGGCATGTTTTATGCTCCACTCATGATTAATTCTCAGCACAGAGATTCAGTGTTACTGTTCATTTACTTCAATAGTCTCGGTATGAATTTCTGACTTTCACAATTTTTTAATTATATTATTCAAAGAAGTGGGTGGAGAAGGGTAGAGTAACATCCTGTACAGGCCTGACTTGCGCTACACCCATTGAATACTGCATTTATTTTAAGAATGTTTCACAGATGTTACATTGTTCACAACTAAATGAATCCATATATTTTAGGCAACTATTATGCAGATAGACTCTAACCAGCAG